GAAAAAGATAAACCAAAATTCACAAACATTTCCATATTTAACAAATGTTATATTTGGGATTCGAATTCACACTGCCAGAGTGAGGCACCTAATCGCCAGCGCACAAAGTCAGCGATTTCAACCACTCAACCACCGAGGCTTCCAAAAAAATGAAAATCCGACAACTGGTAGTCTAGATCACGTACTTTGTGTACCCCTCTGGTCATTGTAAATTGGCACGGCTCCCATGGCCAAAAGTGATGAAGACTCAATGCCATTTAGAAAGTGACCAAATGTAACAAATGTTATATTTGGAAGAACACTTTCTTAGTAAAGTACAGATTCTCGTACTTTTTTGAGTTGAGTCCCGTCCGGGTTGTCAAGACCCTTATCGTATTCATAAGAAATCTCTGGCAAAGGCAGAGTCGATTGTATGATTCCGACTATATCATGAGCATGCGTGTATGAATCACAACCAAACAGTGATGACACTGGGTGTCACACATCAACAAGCCCTCCAGGTCCTCAATGTTCTAGGAAGTTGTGTTCGGCCCGAATTATGTCAGTAACTGAACCACAATCAATCGGTACCTTCCTTCAACATGAGTTCTGCCACAGATCAACAATGATAGTTCGCTTAAACACTGCTAACAAAATCATTACTTAATGTCAGATGAAACCCCGTCATTCCATTTAGCAATGCCGTATTTTGCAAATATGGTGGAACAATAATTAGAGTAAGCTGCGCTAAAACTGGTTCAAAATAAGCGACGTGAGATCACCCAGGGTGAAGGTGTTTAAAATGGTATAACAATGATGCATACATTTTCATGGCACTTAATATATATGAAGAACTTATATGTTTTACCTTGAGTTTGATAATTTGTCAGCACCTTCAGTTTCTCCTTCTTTCCGCAAAACGGTGAACGTGACGCTGCCTAAAGCGGAAGTGAACAATACTATCAGTCTTGGTGCCAAAACTGAAATATATTACCTTCTCCCGACAGCAGTATCATGCAGTCTACCAGGCAGCATAGTAAATTCGCTGTTTACTAACCTTCTGGTCATTGATAGTAAACGGAATATGCTTATACATCATGATAACAACATGTTAGTTATTACTAATGTTAGTTTTATGGCGAGAATGTGATGTTATGAATATTTCTGTTATCTTATACAATTAGCAATAATCCCAATTATCGATAAGGAGTGCAGTACTTTCATAATAGGAAGATACATGCTCCTGGAAAAATGTAAAGCACCACTCGTGCTTCATTTCTTTCGTCATATATCCTGAAGAACCATGCGTCTCTTGGAAATATCTCAATATATATGACACTAATCTTACATGTTTCATGGATAGCATAACACCACTGATTCCTGCTGAAGGTTGGTGCAAGAACATGGCGTGTTTCTTCACGCGGGGGCACATACTGGGTTCGTTATATGACAGGATGCAAAGGTGGAGAGGAATTTATGACTTGTCATGATACAGCTGCAAAAGCTACCATTAGGTTGGCAACTACTGGGTGCTTGGTCATTCTCTGGTTTCAAATAACCACCTCCGATGGAGATATGACTGTATGCGTTCTGTGGCTGGTTCTCAATCTTCCAATTACAAAACTCTGCATTGAAAAGGCACGTTTATCCACCGATATATGAACCACTCGGTCACTGTATGTCAATACGAATAAGTCACAAATATGTTTTGTCTGGGAAATGTAGAAATTGCAATTTTGTGATGATATATAATACAGTAAGCGATGCTTATCTTTTTTGTCACTCATATATATGTATCTGTGTCTTGTGCATGCGTGTGTAAATATGCATTTGCGTGTACGTTCCTTTTTCTTGTGTTTGTGAAATGTCAGATGCTGAATCATTTTGGAAAGACAATGATTCTAATTTGAAATAATATCTTGTGGACTATTTAAACACATACTTTCATTACTGCCCAATGTTGAGAAATTGTTCAAAGACCCTTAAACCAGTGACATTGACAGATTGAAATTGTTTTGACATGTTTTATTCATATATCATGCAGAGTGGAAGTAAACAACCAACTGTCGCCCAGCGAGTACCACAATGCAGTAGTACAGTCAAGTGGAGACGTATTACTGATTTATCAGGTCATCTTAAAAACGTTGTGTACAATTGACGTTGCATACTTCCCCATGGATCAACAACACTGTAAGATGGTGTTCCTGTCGTGGACATCCAATGGTGATCAACTAAATATCACAAATGGTGAAAGTGGAGACGCGGATTTATCTGACTACATTGGCAATGCGGAATGGGACATGGTCTCCTTCAAGAAAAGTCGACAGGTCACATATTACTCATGTTGCCCCGAGCCCTACCTCAGATTGACGTACCGAGTGGTCGTGAGACGGAGGCCATTGTTCTTCCTGGTTAATCTAATGATGCCGTGTCTAGTCATCACGTTGGTTGCTCTGCTGGGACTTCTGGTGCCGAATGAATCTGGAGAGAAAATATCCATAGGAATCACGTCTCTCCTGGCAATGATAGCATTGTTGCTTGTTATCTCGTCATTATTGCCATCGACGTCTTTAGCGATTCCTCTTATTAGTATGTTTTTACTTCCTTAATGTTTTTAAAAGAGTGAGTGAGTAAGTTGAGTTTATCTCCGCAGTACTTCAGTTATTTCATGGCGTAACAGCGTCAGGGACTTGGCATTTGGTATTCGGGTGGTTGGCTCGGATTTAATCGAAACACCGAAAATGTCTAAGTACACGGTTGCAAATATGATTGACAAACATCTTGAAAAAGAATTGAGCTAAACTCACGGGCAAAAGAAACGTTGGCTTCTAATATTCGCATCTAATAAAGACATATGAAAAATTATGTCAACAGGTATCATTTCATTTTGCAGAAACAACAATAGACATCAGGTTTACGAACTCTGACAGCCACGTGATGATATATTCAGGAATTATGACCATTTTTGGAAGAGGTGTTTGAATGTCCATAATTCGATCATCTTCTTTTTCTTGTTGTCAAACAATAACACACCTGAAAATCACAATTAATCGTCAATATCGAGTGTGTCCACCTCTAGCAAGTATGCACTCCCTGACACGACGTCGTACTGATGTTACCAGTCTCCTCACAATAGCTGGAGTGATGAGACGCCACTCTTCTTGCAGTGCCTGCGTCAAGGTCTGTCTGTCATGTGGGGGATGCTGACGTTGCCGAATACGTCTCCCAAGATGGTCCCAGAGGTGTTCTATTAGATTCATGTCAGGGGATCGGGCTGGCCACGGGAGAACTTGTATGTTGTTTGCATTCAAAAAGTCTCTTGTAACACGTGCAGAATGTGGAGTGGCGTTATCCTGTTCCAACAGCGTTCGGGGATTATTCTGCAGGAATGGAAGTATGGCTGGTGTAAGGACCTGGTTGAAATAGCCGTTAGCGTTGAGGTTTGCATTTATAACCACCAGGTCGGTCTTGGTGTCACCGCAAATACCGCCCCAGATCATCACACTGCCAACGTCATGGGGGTGCACTTCCTGAACGCAGCAACGTGACGTACGTTCGCCTCTACGCCGGTAAACTCGCAATCGGCCGTCAGCACTGAAAACATGGAACCTACTCTCATCGGTAAACAGCACTCTGTCCAAATGTCGTCTTTGCCAGCGTTGCACTGTACGAGCCCACCTCAATCTGTTGAGTCTATGTTGTCGGGTCAAGGTCATTCCCCTCAAAGGTCGATAAGCACTCAAACCAAAATAGCGGAGACGTCGGGCTACAGTCCTTCTGCTGACGGTGTGTTGGAAAGCATTGTGTGCTGATGACGTCACAGTGAGGAATCTGTTACGTAGGTGCAACATACGCAAATAGCGGTCTTCGTTGGGCGTGGTTACTCGTGGTCTTCCACTTCGTGGTTTGTCTGATGTCCGGCCAGTATTTCTAAAACGTTTCACCATTCTCTCGATGGTGGTTTTGTGACAGTTCATGATTTCTGCAACTCTGGTCTGAGTTTCACCCATCCGCAACATTCCTGTTGCTCTCTCTCGCTGCTCAGACGTCAAACGTGGCATTCTTGAAGGTGAACTCTAAACGATTCAATGCTACAGAAGGTTTCTGTGCACAATTATTACCTAAATCTAACACGAAATTTTCCTTATGCATTTTTTACAAAAAGAGGGAAAAAACGTATTTCTCCGAAAATCACGTGCTGCAGATTCGCCACGACCGCTAGGAAATAATTGGTGCATTTGGGGGAATGTTTTTATATGGTATCGAATCATGGATTTAGGTTTTGATCAAAACTGTGTCAACGTTTATAAAACCAGCGTTTCTTTTGCCCGTGAGTTTACTTTGTAACGGGCGCCAGATGTGAACGCTCATAAGAGGTTCACTAGTGAATAAATTACTCTCTTTTTAACACAGATGTAGTCCTATCTAAAACAAATAGGTTTATCATTCAGAACTTGTTTTTACAAAACAAAATTTTAAAGCACACAAATAGTGTTATTATTGTCAATCGTGTTTACATTATCAGTGTCAAAAACAAACAAAATTAAGCTTTTAACCTAGAAGTTAGCTACATGTATGTATCATTTGAAAACGTATCCGTATTAACGACAGTACACAAAGTCAGGTGTAATCTTGTAGTTTAAACTTGCTGTACTTTCAAAACAATTGGTTTTTTTCGCTGTAATAGCATTGTGTCTCTTTCGTGGGAAGGTGGTAAAGAAACTGGTCATTTTAACGTTTACTATGGGCTTCCTCTTCAGTGGTCCTGACAGTTTTTCAGCTGATCTTAGGCAACTGGTATCTGTGAGGAAAACGAGGGTTGATAAATTCTGAACTTTAAATAGAAGGAATTGCGTAATAGGACAAATAGGTAATTGAGTTGTGGACACTGCGTGATTTCGTCGGGGAATATCCACACAAACTTGAGTTAATTGAGCAAATCGTTTCGCTTTTATGAGTCAGTAAAATAATTATGCAAGATTCTGTGAGAAGCCGTAGCACCAAAAGCCACCGATGACGATATGAGTTCTACACAAGGGAAGGTTGTCCCGTTCTATTCCATCGTAAAATGGAGGGCAGCAGAGTTCAAGCGCGGCATTGAAAGCCTTAAGACCCAGAAAGGTTTTTCCAATGATTTGTGACTATGTCCCATTAGTTGGAGAGGTTAAGGAGACCATGTTGTGCGATGACGAGGGTGTCAAAATGGTAGACTTTATCTGAACATATTATGCTGGATTAATTTCTTCTGGCGATTACGGGATGCAATTAAGACTAAGACACGTGGGAAGCTGACAAAAAGGGGTGTGCTCTTGCATCAGGACAATGCACCAATTTACAAATTAGTTATTGCCATGGCTACAATCGAAGAGTGGTTGATTTGAACTCCTTCATCATCCGCCTTATTCTCCTGATTTGACTCCTGCAGGCTTACAGACTTCTCCGTGAGCCTGAACCCATTACCTCTCGAACGATGACGTCAAAGCAGACGAAACTTTGATACATCCCTCCAACATCGTTTGCAGATGTTTATCAACTATCAATGGAACAGAGGTCGTTTGAAAAATAAATCGCTTTTAGGTCTCTCTCTTCGCGAATCAGTCAACCCTCGTATCACAATCCCGCACTTGGACTAAAAATAAATGTGTGCATCGTCTTATGCCATCATGGAGAAAAAACATGTTCTCTTTGTCTGCAAAATATGAATATTTAAAACAAATAAATTATTGCAAGATGTTTTTTTTTTAAAACATATATATAGGCTCGTAGTTCAAGTTTAAGTTGATGTTTAAGTAAAATTATAAGTTGGTTTTGCAACTGTAACTGAATAAAAAACGAAGTCTCGGGACACAATCCCATCCTGAAAGTACTATCAACGCAATACCACACGAGTGTTTCTGAATACGAAACATGCGTCGCATTATCACGAACAAAAGACATACTTTGTCGCTATCTTATTAAAAGACAACGATTCCAATGGGACATTAATGCACCCCTTTGTCTGTTTATCTTTCTCTAGTTTACCAGAATCGAGATTGTTATAAATAGCGAATAAAGTAGATGTTGATGCCTTGACTTATGAAGGTGTTTAACCAAATTAAATCAATATTTACTGTATTGTTAAGGTCACATACTTAAAATGTTACTTTTTACGAGGGCAAGTGTAAACCAGTAGTCTAAGGCTTCGCAATTCGCTGTGCAGAGTGGAATCCCTAACTTGTGCCAGAAACCAATGATAATAGTTTCCAATACCAAATTGGCCTAGTTTGTTTCTTGGTTTGTCAGCACCTTACCCGTGCTAATGGATTTCACCAAAGCGGTAAATCTATTAGCCCTCCATCACTCTTTGCTTTCACTTAAAATCAACCTGACGAACTCATTCACTTGGGGACGAATGGATGTCGAATGGCATGGGCAAGCATATACTCCAAAAAATTGTGTTCTTCATAATAAAGAAGTTGACATCCATAAATTCAATTATGAAGGAATAAGCATATACTCCGAAACGTTGTGTTCCTCATAATAAAGAAGTTGACATCCATAAATTCAATTATGAAGGAGTAAGCATATACTCCGAAACGTTGTGTTCCTCATAATGAAGAAGTTGAAATTCATAAAATTTCTTCCTTATGTGTATCACCTTATGTGTATTACCTTATATTTTTTGGTTGCATAATATCATGCTTTCGAATAGAATATCCTTAATGTGAGTTCTTCTCCCACAGGTAAGTACTACGCTGTCAGTATCCTCATTGTGTCGCTGAGTACAGGCCTGGCTGTGCTCACTCTCAATATTCATCACCGAGGACCGAGAGGACACAAACTGCCAAGGCTTGTGAAAACTGTGTGCTTCAGTTTTCTTGCTAGGATCCTGTTCATCAAAATAGACGGACCAGAGCCTGACGACCAGGAAATGGTATGTTTGATGCTTATTTGATTCTTTGATACTGTCGGCAATAGTTTCTATGGGCGAAAACTGTTATTTCAAGTGTTCAACAATTTAAATATGCAAATGTTTTGAACTTCGTATGTGATATATAGATATCAATATACTTGTCAACTGTGATCAAAAGATAATGCAAGAGATTCAGAGATTGGGGGAAAAATAGTGAGTGTTGATGAAAGCTTCTCAGAAGTGGTGTCTTTTAATTGCTATTCCTAAGTCCTCGTGTGCGTTCTATTAAAGGCTCGAGTTTCCCTCTGACACGCTCTGTATTGCCGTATTTCACACACAGGCACGATATGCCGCTTATGACGAGGCCAACCATGCAGACATACAAGCACCCACCCTGAGCCTGGCGGAGGGACAGCAGGCTGGCGGGACTAACGTGGTGGATGTTCTCAACCGACTGCTGCACACAGTAGAGCAGGCCATAGGGCTGCAGAAGAGGAGAGTCGCCAAACAAGACAGCCTTGACCAGATTACATATGAATGGAAGCAACTGGCCATTGTTCTCGAACGCGCTCTGACAATCATATTTCTCTTCGTCACTGTTTACACGACGGTTGCAATGTTCTCCTAGACTCTAAACGTAGGTGGAACCTGGTGGTAAAGTGTTCGCTTGTCAGACAGCAGACCTGGCTTCTATTCCCCGTATGGGTACGACGCTTATTTTGTCCAGTGTTTATATCACTTTCTTGGTTTCAAGTGCCCATATTGTGTTGTATGTGTGGAGTACTTGGTGTTCCATGTTGCTGGAATGTTGCTGAAAGAGGCGTACTACACCAATGACCCTAGCAACCCTTTGGCTTGCATGACGATGGGCACCAGTATCATGCATTTGTTCGGTGCTCGGAGGTTGCCATAGGGTAGCTGTATTTTCTTCAGAAATTCGCTTTAGGATTTGTATATCGTCACGTAAATATGCATGATCTAAGTAAGTACATTAGAAAAGTTGGTATTGATTTTTGTGGTCACTATTTACATGTTATTTTGATTTGCGATGTTTGATTCGTAAACTTTATGACTGATTATTTTCAAGTTGCGAACATTTATAATCTAGATCATTAAATGCAATTCAATTATTACAAGTTATATTGGATATCCTTTGTAACCCGACTGAACATCGAGTAAGCTTATGTCGCAGCCTGTTTGCCCGTGATCCGCCATCAACCTCGTCACATCGTTTCATGGTTCGTCCCACCCATAACGACCCCACATTTGTTCAAGAGGTTCGAATCCAGTTTATAGCTTTTTGGGGCCACTACTCAGCTCTTTTTTGTTCAAAATGGAATACAATTTGCTGCATGTTTAATTAACGTTTGGGCTCAACATATATTTTCCGTGTTTCGCAATAGTTATGCCATTGTATTGACCTTATTGTTTTTGCCATGTTCTGATATTCGCGTAAAATGAATATTTGACTTCTGTAAACTGGAATACCCATACAAAAAGAGCTAAACTTTCATGTGTGTTTCCTCTCACGGAGACATAATGATTTGCTCAAATCACTGTAGGATTTTAGTGTCAGGGTTTAGTCCTCACTGTATATGCAGAGAGTATTTGAATATCAATGCTGACTGAAACTGTTGTTTAAAGTCAGTTCCGTCCCGTTACAATTTTTACCTGTGATGTCAACAATGTCATTATTAAGCATATTTTAATAACCTGTCACAGTCAATGTGTTAAATGTGATTCACTCAGGTGGTTTACAAAATGCCTACACATTTCAGTTATTTGACAAATTGACTGACAAGTTGATTTATTTGACAGATTGACTAAAGTGAAGATTATTAAGAAGCTGAAAAGGGCCCAAATGAACAAAGTACAATAGGTATGCTGGGATTAGAAACAATAAAACTAACAAAATACATATTGTCTTCTGTTAACCCTTTACATTTTCACTGGGTGATTACACTGAACATCAAAATGTGTTGAATTCGTTATCATAAAATTAATGGCCAATTTGTACAGTAACTTGTAAATTGACTGGAATATTTAGGCGACTGTGATTTCAGTCAGACTTGCCACGATCTTCTTACCACAGATTCCAAATTCCCGATTGGGCCCCATTATTATTATTGGTAAACTCCTCCGACCGTCCTCAGAAATACCAAAACAGACACCAACAGAGAGATAAATCCAAACCTATGGGCGACATTAGCGCGATTATATATTTGCGGGATTTTATAAGCAAAACGGATGTCAAACAGTTCAAACTGAGTTTTATAAGGAAACTATCAGTACATCCAGTGTGGATCATGTGACTACAGGATCGTACAACATTTTCTTACTGCATTAAAATTAAAAATAGCCCCATGATTCTAGTTCAGCTTACAGCAAAGCTATTGGTACATCCGTTTTGCATCATGTTGGAAAACACTTCCTTTTGCATTAAACTGTATAGTCCAATGGTTCTCGCTCAAAGTGTTAAAAAAACAGCCAGCTTGAGTTTTCAAACTAAATACATAAACACTCATATCACTGTATCTTAATTGGCCAAAAGTTTTTTTGTCATGGAAACCACAAAAAAAAGAAATCGTCTAAATTTCGCATATTGTACTAACGCTTCTTTCAGTACGGGTTTTAGCTGTCTATTTTATATAACATCACGTGAGAACCAGTTCTGGTCCCAAGCAGCGGTACTTTTACCATGCACAACAAAAATAACAATGTTCATACGGAATGACAACTTTCAATGTTTTCCACCCAGAACCTTCGATTATCTGCAGACACAAGGTTCCATTAGGTGCAAAAGGCAAAATAGTAGGATACCATATGGTCGCAAACTACTAACGCAGCAAGATACACTCATATTGTCACGAACACTTGATATCCTCACTATTTGAGAGTGATTGATAAACACATGCATGCTTATGATACAGTCGGAATTGTACAAAATGAGATAAATGATAACTACAGTGTTCTTTGTCTCTTGTTCCTCACTATGTTTAAAATACGGCTTGGAATCGTCCAGCAGAGATATATAATGTAATTCAAAGGGATGTTTTCCAGTTATCTCTAACTCTTTTTTGAGAAAACTTACTATGCCCAATTCCAAAGTTTATTTACTGCAATACATAGACTGCCTTAGTGGAGAGAAATACCACCTACTTTAGCTCATCATGACCTTTATTAACTTGAGCCATCTTAAGAATACGAACGTCAACTGATGAAGTAAATTCAAAACACATTTGTCACGAGACAATGATGTCCCATGCATGGTATTGAATTGTTGTCAACATTGATGATTATTCCATGAACCTAATGTTCATAGATCACACTCTCTGTCGTCTGCCAAATCCTGTTGGGAGAGCCTGGCGTTTTGTAGACTGAGAGGGTCCAACGATTTGGGCACAAAATCCCGAACGTCTTAAGCCAACCGGATATAGAGCAGCATTCACAACAGAAGCCATTGTGCTAGATGTGATCACTTTACAGGGATATTTTTAGAGTTAGGAACACAAGATGTCCACTGGCCCCACTGCGGATGATTTTGATCTTGTGACAGAGTCCACAGCCTCAACCGACGCAGGCTGCATGGTCACCGTAATCCATGTCACTGACATTCTTTGTGCCATGAAAATCAAGGTCAAGTGATCCATCCTCCTTGAAATGTACCTAAGCCAGCCTAAGCAATATATTCGTCATTTCACCATTCGGACTGAACAAGACGCCAGGCGGCGCCACGTCTGATGGCCTTTTCATTACGGCATAGGCTAATATCACGTGTTTTCTCGCGCATATCTTTTATCAGCATGTCCTCGATTTAAGATCATGACATATATAACATTTACAAAATATGCATGGCTTTAATGAAGACATCGCGTTAATGTCTAATGTTGTTCTGAGCAATATCCCCATTGCATCACAGAGACACATTGCTGCAGCTATGGCAGGAGTTTAGTGACGCAGGCTGTTGTGATTTATCTGTTACTGAACAGAGAATTTACCGAATATAGTGGTTGAAACTCGAGGGAATGAGGCACCAACGTTTAACTGTCTTACAATTTACTTAATTTGCCTAACAGCCAATTGAACAACCCTTTCTGAACCATGGCTGTCTTTTCCACAACAGTGCTACCAGCGTGGTGTGGTCTCCCTGGGCCTCAAGCATGTCAAGGGTCTGCGGATCATCCTGAATGGTGGATGGACAAAATGGGTCAGCTCTTCCCAGTCCTGTTGCGCTGACGCATCTATGCCTGATGTTGAGGGGTCTAAGACCCTGCTGTTGTACAAAGGTAGCTGTGTGCACGTGTTGACTATTGAAGCTAACCTGTCCACGCGGTGAGGTTCCTACATGTGATCCAGAAGCTTGAAAAAGTTTGGCTGCAGTTGCCATTCGTACTGCGGGTTCAGCTTGGGTCAGCTTTCTGCTTCTTCACTGTCAATGCCCTGCAATACTTGGCGGTTATGTTTAACCCTAACCCCAACGCTCGTTCCCATATGCCCGAAACTATTTGGTTCAGCTTTCTGCAAGGGCTACCCGGAAGGTTTATTGTTAGCCACTGTCACTGTAGTCTTATTATGGCATTTAGAAGTGAGTGATACACAATTTCTTTATCATAAGAAACACGACGTTTCAGAGTATATGCTTACTCCTTCATCAGGTAAATGCATTCTAGGAAGCTTAGAGCTTACATATTTACATGTAAAAACAACCACCCAACCCATCAACCTCGATGACTTTAATGGATATTTTGTTGCTTGGTTGCCTTTTCTTCTACAAAAGCCTTTGAATTATTACAAAATGAAATTACTACACAATAACCACCACCAACCACAACATCAACAACAACAACAACACTACAACTACTACTACTACTACTACTACTTGAGTTGAGTTGCGTCCCCCGGGCACGCCATAAACCTATGGTCGTGGGTTCGAATCCCGGTTCGCCCCGTTTATGTTTCTAGGTTTGTCCGCACCATACCTGTGCTCGTGGGTTTCACCAAAGTGGTAAGCGTATGAGAACTTCATCACTTCGGGCTTTCCTCGCATACTAAGCTGACAGAACTTGATATACCTGGAATACTGTTCAGAGCGGTGTTAAACCCAACTCATTCATTCTTCTACTACTACTTCTACTATTACTACCACAGCTACTGTCATATTTGCAGTAACAACAACAACAACAACAACAACAACAACAACAACAACTACTACTACTACTACTACTACTACTTCTACTATCACCACCACCTTCGCTCCTACCAGCACCACTACTACTACTACTACAACTACTATTCGTGCTCGTGGGTTTCACCAGAGTGGTAAACGTTTGAGACCTGCATTAATTCGGGCTTTTCTCCCACACTAAGCTGACACGCCGAGATTTAGCTGGAATACTGTTCAGAGCGGCGTTAACCCAAACTCATTTATTCACTACTACTACCGCTACCAGTACTACTACCATTACCACTGCCACTACCACTACTACGACCACTACCACTGCCAGTACTGTCACGTTTGCCACAACTGCTACAGCTTAAAGCTTTCGATCGTTACATCCAAGGTCCGGGTTTGACTCCCCGCATGGTTCACTGCCTGATATTTCTTTATTATGTTCCACCATGCAACTG